CGCTCTGTGCCAGGCACTTTGGCAAGCACCTCACTAGCATCATTTCTAGCCCTCAGAGGGGAATCTTGGAAGTAAAGCGACTTGCCTGCAATCACACTGCTAGCAAGTGGCCAATAAGCAGAAAAATCAGGATTCTTATGAGACTAAGCATCATATTAGAGCCTGACCCATTCCTTGGACTTAGATCTAGGAAGACACAGAAGCCCAGAGAGGGCAAATCCCTGGCCTAGGTCACACAGCCAGTTAGCTTCAGAGCTGAGATTGGATTGCAGGCCAGGTAGGAGACTGAACTTGAGGACTCTGGTTTACTCTCATCACTCTCCTGCCCTCCCCACCCCCAACCTCTCTTATATGACACTTGACATTATCCATCACTCCCTCCCTCTGGGAACGCCCTCCTCCTCCAGTTTCCATGGCAGCACATCTCCCCGTCCTCCTCCAGCTTCTCACTCTCCACAGTGGCTCCTGAGCCTAGAGGGATCCCTAGGCTGGGTCCCCAGTCTCTTCTCCTATTACTGCCCTGGAAGCTCATCTACTTTTCCTCTAGGTCTCTAGCTCTGACCTTGCACTGCAGGTCCACTTCTAAGTAATAACAGTGACTAACCATGTGCTAAGAGCCTACTTATGCCCTGGACCCTATAGAGCAGCTCCCCAAATGATGTCCTTTCCTTCAGCATCGATCCATTATAACAGTGATGAGAAAAGAATGGATTCCCAGCTGAGGCCCGTCTGGGGTTTGCATGTTCTCTCCTTGTCTGTGTGGGGGTTTTCTGGATACTCTAGCTTCCTCCCACATTCTAAAGGTGTGCATGTGAGGTGAATTGACTCGTCTAAATTATGAGAGAGAGAGAGAGAGAGAGAGAGAGAGAGAGAGAGGTGACCTGTGATGGGAGAACCTCCTGTCCACCTTGCACCATGAGCTGCCTGGAGAAGCTGTGGCCACCTGTGATCCTGAACTAGAATAAGGGAGTCGGAAAATAATCATCTTACTTTTTTTTATTACTCTTTCTTAAATGTATGTATAGCTCACATTGACTTTGATGTTTAATATTAGAAGCATTTGGGGTCTTTATTTAGAAACTAGAGGCCCAGTGCATGAAATTTGTGCATGGGTAGGGTCCCTAATGGCTGCCAGCTGGGGCCTCCCTCCCACCCCCCCACCCCCGGCTGCCTGCCACTGCCGCCAGCCTGGGGTTGAGTGATCTTAGCATTTCATTAGCATAATATGCTTTGATTGGTTGAACAGATGACCGAACAACTGGACATGTAGCATATTAGGCTTTTATTATATAGGACAGTGTGATGTTTTTGTGGCCAGAAATATCCTGTAGGAACTTAACTCTTGCTTATATCAATTAGCATATGTAAAATGGTTTTGTTATACATCATGTCACTTAAAGTTGCACTTTCCAAGAAACTAGAGATGAAGGGAGGACTTGCTGTACATTAACTCATCAAATCCTCACAGCCTCATGAAAGAAGTTTATTCTACAGATGAGGAAACAGAGGCACAGAAAGGGAAAGCCAAGATCTGACTCCAGCCTCAACCACTACTTCTATTACAAGAGATCTGAAATTGTAGGAGACAATAATTTCCTTCCCTCCCACCTCCTGAAGAGAGAGGAATGGGAATTCGGGGGAAATGAGATCTACTCTAGTTTGAGAGCCCTGTGATGCTCTAGAATTACACTGTCAATTTGGAGCTTTAAAATGCATCATGTTCAGTACATTTTATTTTTTAAAATATTTTTATTGATTTCAGAGAGGAAGGGGGAGGGAGAGAGAGATAGAAACATCAATGATGAGAGAGAATCATCGATCGGCTGCCTCCTGCAGGCCCCCTACCAGGGATTGAGCCTACCACCCGGGCATATGCTCCTGACTGGAATCTAACCCAGGACCCTTCAGTCTGCAGGCCGATGCTCCATCCACTGAGCCAAACCAGGTAGGGCTCCAGTACATTTTAAAATGTGAAGAGTTAGAGAGCGCCGGGTGGAACAAAAGTTCATGGAAAATTGCCCTTTTCCTTCAAGTCTTTCCGTTTGGTTTTAAGTCTTCAAAACCTCATCCCAGGGTTCTACAGCTCTTCTACTTCAATGATGTCTGGAATTCATCATTACATTCCTGGAAACTGGACCCTGGAATTCCACTGACCCGAGTTCCGCTACCACTAACAAGCTCTGTGACTTAGGGTGAGTGGCTGGACCTCTCTGAGCCTGACTTCTTGTCTAAAATAAGGTAATAGCACGACTCCCACATGTCCCCCCAGGAATGTCATCAGACACGTTCGGTTAAGCCCCACGCTCCAGCTGCACACAACTTCTCAGGTTTGCCAAGCACGGGAACATCTCCCTGATTTTGCACACGCTGTTCCCTCTTCTTGGTGGCCAACTCCTAGTCATGCATCAAGGCCCTCTGACCCTTTCCCACCTCTTTCAGAATTGCTACAAATCTGTTTCCGTGCAAAGCTAGAAAAGGTAGTTCCCTGTGACACCCTCCCAGGGCTCCCTGTGGCTACACACATCACAGGGAGATGCAATCATCGCTTATGCTTTGTCTCCAGCACGGGCTCAAACTTTCTGAGGGCAGGGCAGTACTTGACTCATTTCCAAGTCCCAGTGCCCAGGTGCTCACAGCCTGGCATGGCATACATCTCCGTACAAATTTGCTTTCCCTTAAATGCACATGGTCTGGACCCAGCCCCTGCTGACCCCAGGACAAATTTATGTATGAGAAGTAGTAAAAGGGAGCCAGTCTGTTGTAGCCACAGGAAACGGTAGTGGACAGACCTGGGGCAATCTTGAGCAGCCTGTTCTAGGAGGAATTAAAGGGGACACAGCGATTGCAAGGAAAAGAAACAGACTTGGTCCCAACATCACCCCCTTCAGGAGTCTTCCCTGGTTCCTAAATGGTCTGCTCCCCCTGACATCTCCCCAAGGCATTCACAGGAGGGGCCCCAGGGGATGAGGAGTGTCCAGGAGTGTCCCCACCTTGCTGATACCCACCCCCATTCAGACACAGAGACCCCATGGTCTCAGGCTCCATCTGAAGGGTGAAAGTGAGCAGGGATCCCAGACCTCAGTAACTTAGCAGCGGTTCTGAGTGCTGGGCACAGCCCCGCATCTTCCCAAGGCACTAGGGGAGCCTCTCTCGGGAGAAGAAAAGTCCCAGGTCTGCAGCTTCCGGGGACCTCGCCCTGAGAAGGGGACTGTGCTTTGCCCACCAAGGGTATCCCTGCTCCTAATGTGCCCAAAGCCCACCCTGGTGCCTCAGCCCCCACCTTGCTGAATGCCAGTTCAGCCCCTGCTGAGTGACAGCCTCCCAGACAGGGAAAGGCTTTTGTTCCAAGGAAATGGCTGTCAAAGGGAGAAGAGGTACATTGTTTCTTTTCTTTTTCCCCCCTTTTCTTTCTTTTTCCGCTTGTGACAGACGTCAATTTCTTGCCATCTGTCCCCCAAAGGAAAGATGATTAAATGTTTTTACAAGGATGTCAGAACACTGCCTCAATAGGGAGCCAGGGTGCTTGACTGAGCTGCGCAAGTGTGAGGAAGGGGAAAGCCGGGGGCGGGGGAGATAAAGCAAGGGAGGCCAGGGACCAAGGACAGACCCTGGTACTGGGGGAAGCAAAGATCTGGGCTCAATAAAATGCCCAACAAATGAAATGAAATACTCTCTGCCTAGGTCTGGGTGCATCTGCCTCTCAGCAGCTTGAAGGGGGCAGCGAGAGCAGGTGGGGGACCTGGGGGTCCAGGGAAAAGGCAGAGGGGAGCACGTACTGACAGGAGCATTGCAGTTATAAAGGCCTTTCCCCCCCAGTTCCTTCAGAGTCCGGTCCCCACATGGGCCGTTCCAGCTTTCCGGGAACACTGGACACAGTGGGGGCAGCCAGATGTGGGGAGAGAGGAATTCTTGGAGCTTCTTCTCAGGAGCCCCGGGCCGGGAGCAGGGGGCAGGGCAGTCTGCGCTGGTGCTTCAGATGCCCACCCAGTCCCAGGGGCACTTACCCTCCACGGAGCTCTGACCCCCAGTCCTCTGTCCTGCAGCACCTGGGCCAGAAAAGCCAGGGTCCTGGGGAACCCCCAACGGCATCTGTCCACTGGCTTCAGGACCTAACCTCAAAGCCGAACCAGCAGCACCACCGCCTCCACTTCCTGCCTCAGCCCACCCACCACCACCCCTTGGCACGGAGACCAACCAGCAGCTTCGGTTCTGGAACGGAAGCCATGAAGCCACCTTGCTCCTTCTGAGCCCCGTTAGGGACTCGGGCTGAGGAGTCAACCCCAACCCCGGCCGGTTCCGCTACCCTATCCTGGAGCCACCCACTGGGGGTGCAGCGCTGGGGACACTACCTCCATGCTGAGGCACCCTGCCCATCCCAAGGAAATGACGGTCAAGGAGCCAGAAGGTACGTTTTTTTCCCTCCCTCTCTATTTTTCTCTTCTTTTTATTTATAGAGATGGCAAGTTGGACCTGGGCAAGCCCAGCCTTGAGCCCCATCTCCTGCTAGAACTCAGGGCTGGGCCGCTCGCCCAAAGTTGAGGCCCCTGTCCCCTGCACACAGGGCCTATCTCTGAGGCCCAATCCTGAGCAGTAACTACGCCTCCCAGTCCTGTCCTTGCGTTGGGTCCGAGAAGAGGCCCCTCCTCGCTACACAGAGGCCCGATCTTGCAGCTCAATTCTCAAGCCACTGTCCCCACCACTGCCCCATGCGTCCTGGCCGGGCATCTTCAGGGCTCAGTCCGCACCCTCACTGGCAAGCCCAGCTCAGGGTTGGAACGTGAAGCTCTCCCCACGGTAGAGGCCCTATTTATCCGCCCAGGTCTAGAGCCACAGGTCCTCCTCCCTAGGAGTCGGCAGCTCCTCCTCCACCCAGAGCCTTTGACCAGGCCCTCAGTCCAGGGGCACAGCCCACCGCCCCGCCCTCTGCCCCGCCCCAGAGGTCCACCCACCGCAGGGGCCCCATCTCTGGGCCCCTGGCTCATCTCAAGCCCGGGTCTGTTTTTCAAAACAGAGGCCCCCTTTCTCCTCCTGTGGCGCCCTGGCCCCCACCCCCCTTAGCACTCGGGGTGACCGCCAGGTCACTCCGGAGGGGCGCGCGGTGGGCCAGCCGGGCCTGGTCAGGCAGCGGTGCCACCAGGACCCTCGGACGGGGTGCAGGCGGTGATCCTTTCGCGGACCGTAGCTTCCCGGGCGCGGTTGAAGCCGCCGGGCTCCTGGCGGCCGCAGGGCCAGCGGCAGAGCTGGCGGAAGCAGCGCTTGAAGTTCTCGTCCAGGAAGGCGTAGAGCAGGGGGTTGAGGCTGCTGTTGGCGTAGCCCAGCGCGATGCACAGGTGCAGCGCGGCCACCACGAGCGGGTCGCGCCGGTTGATGTCCACCAGCGTCCAGACGATGACGAAGATGTGGATGGGGGCCCAGCACACCACGAAGGCGCCCACCACCACCAGCACCATGCGCGTGATGCGCCGCAGGCTGCGGTCCTTCTCCTTGGAGCCCGAGAGCACGCGCACACTGCGCAGGCGCAGCAGCATCAGGCTGTAGCACACGGTGATGATGAGGATGGGCACCACGAAGGCGAAGAGGAACACGCAGATCTTGGTCACCGTGTCCCAGTACCAGCTGGGGCTGGGGAACTGGAGCGTGCACACCACGGCTCCGTCTGCATCAAGGAAAGAAAGAAGAACAGGCAGGGTAAGGGGAAGGGGGGGCCTCAGGGGCTCGGCCTGCCTGCGACCCTCCCTTCTCAACTTGGTCAGGTCCCACCGCCTCCTCCTGGCCTTCACTCGGGGTGATTCCTCTACCTGGACTCCCCTCCGTTGCACGTGGTGAACTCTTACTCGTCTTTCAAGACCCCAGCAGGATTGGCCCTAATACAGAAGGCCTTCCTATATTCTCTCCAAGTCCCTTTAGAAGCCCAACAAGAATGCTATAATTTAGCCTAAGCTCACTAAATGCCAGTTATTATGATAACTGAAAACAGCTCACACATTTCCAAAGTAGCTTCAGTGGGGACAATATTGCTAAACTGACATAGAGAGCGAGTTAAGAACAGGACTCAGGTCCTATTAATTGTGTGGTGTGGCCTTCAGCAAACTATTCAAACCTCAAGAGCTTCCCTAAAGTGGGACTAACAACAGCACCTAAACCTCATAGGGCTGTTGTGAGGATTAAATGGGCCAAAGCATGTAAAGCACATAGCACAGTGGGGTTCCAGCCCTTGGTGCACTCACAGGGCAGATACATGGGCGAGTCCAAAGGTTGGGGCTAGGGCTGGGGAGGCAAATCTCAGTTTAATGGCAAAAACTTCCGACTGCCAGACTTGTTGAGATAAGAGGGGCACCCAGGAGGGCATGAGCTCCCTGTCCCTAGAGTGTGGGCTTGGGCTGGATGCGCAGCTTATGGGATGTTGTGAGATACAGATACAGGCTGAGGCTGGCCCAGGAGACTCCCAGGTCTTTTGGAATTCTGGAATTTGAGGAGCTACACAGTGGACTTGGAGCCTGAGAGTTGTGAGAAGGGGGCTGGGAATCCACAGATGGAATGGACCTGGGACATCAGGCTGGCAGGATCCACATGGATAACTGAGTTGCAGAACTTCATTGTACAGATGGTAGGACAGGCCCAGAGAGGAGCAGCACTTGTCCAAGTGAACAGCACTTGTCAAGGTCACACAGCAAGTGGCATATAAGTGCTGATGGCACACGCTGGGGAAGTTGTGTGTGTGTGTGTGTGTGTGTGTGTGAGAGAGAGAGAGAGAGAGAGAGAGAGAGAGAGAGAGAGAGAAGGGGGGGGGGGAGTGAGGAGGCCCATCTGGCCCAGCCCCCAGCAGGGCTGTAGTTAATGGCCCGTAAACTGAAGGCTGACAGTGAGGAATAGGGCCCAGCTGCTGAGTCAAGACCAATAAGCTCAGAGACTTGATAAGGGCTCTACCCTTGTGAGAGTCAGCGATGGCCAAGAAGCCTCCCACCAAGCCTGTTCCCCTCTCCCACCACAGCACTGGTGATCTGTAAACCTTCACTGCAGGGGCCAAAGGGAGCAACAGATACAGGGCCAGGAGCCTTGGGTTTTAGGCCAAATTCCACCAAATGCCTGGCTGTGTGACCCTAAATAAACCATGGAGATAGGAGTCTCTGCCTTGTCTATCTCATAGGCTTAATCATCTTAATTGCTGCTATTTATTGGGCCTTGGCAATGAGCCAATACTTGTCCTAAGTATTTTACACATACAACCTCATTTAATCTTCTCAACACCCCATGATATAGTGTGGCTCAGAGAGGTTAGTGACCAGTGACTTGGCACCCTGCTGAACTACTTTTCCCACTTCTTTACATCAAGTTGGAGTCATGTGACCAGCTATCACCAGGAAGAGATGGGCCATAACATTTAAAACTGGTTGTGCTTTCTCACCACTCCCTCTCCATATTCATCTGCTGCCCAGACCCAGCAGTGGAGGATTCCAAAACCATCATGTGGAACCTGGTCCCTGAACGATGTGTGGCATAGAGACCCTCCTCTTGCTCACATTGAACAGTAATGTGAGTAAGAAATAAACTTCTACTGTGTTAAGCCATTGAGCAGCTCCCCTGACTGATAGAGGTGGTTACTATACTAATAATTACCATTTTCTCTGAGGAAATGCACCTATCTATCTGTCATTCTCTGACGGCCAATCTCTAGGCGTTGCTTTGGTCATTTGAGCCAATGATTTCAAACTGGGGTGGAAGGGAATTTGGGATGGGACTGCAGACCTTGTGGCCTCCACTGCTCACAGATCAGTGACAGCCTCACCCCACTGGCCATCCATCTAGCTTCTTAAAAGTCAGTCATCCACACACTTCTGGCCAGCGGCTACATGCTCACAAATCCGCCATCCATAATCCCATTGATAATTTCCTTTGGCCAGCAATCCATATGACTACTGACTAGCCATTCATCCTCACCACAGTCAACCATTCCCATTCCCATTGGTTGACTATCCATATTCCCACTGGCCAGTCATCCACACTTTCATTGATCAGCAATCCATATCTCTACCCTCGTAAGTGGCCTATAAACCCACAGAGGCCCATGTGCTGCCTCCTGTGGCCACTCACCCCGGGGACGGGTCACAGCCATGATCATGATGGGTACACCAACACCTGATGCCAGGACCCATATGCAGATGTTGATCAGCTTGGCCTTGGCGGGGGTGCGGAAGTCCAGGGCCTTGACAGGGTGGCAGACAGCAATATAGCGGTCCACACTCATCATGGTGAGTGTGAAGATGCTGGTGAACATATTATAGTAGTCGATGGAGAGCACAGCCTTGCAGAGAAGCTCCCCAAAAGGCCACGTCTCCATCAGGTACTTGGCGCTCTGGAAGGGCAGCGTGCTGGTGGCCAGTGCATCTGCCAAGGCCAGGTTGAAGATGTAGATGTTGGTGGCTGTCTTCATCTTTGTGTACCTTAAAAGGAAATGCACATATAACTGTCCCAATGCACAGATTTCCGTTTCACTTGAAACTCAGGGAGGCGAAATGACTGATCCAAGGTCACACAAAAGTCCGGGGCAGAGGAGGGACTAGAACCCTGACCTCTCTGATTCAGCATCATTCCTTTCCATTCTAACAGATGAAAGAGCATTTATCTGGCTTGGAGTAACTTTGGCAGAAGGTATTTTAGGAAAAACCCTTATCTTTTAAAAATAAAACAGCTCCAGAGGGAAACAGGTCTAGGTTCGAATCCTGCCTCTACCTCTACTGTTTGTCAGCTGAGTGCTTCTGGGCTAGTAACTTGACCTTTCTAAGCCTTAGTGTCCACAACTGTAAAAAGAGGGACACTATTTTTACCAATCTCATTGAGTTGTTATGAAATGTAATGAGATGATATAGCACTTAGGCCAGAGCGCAAAGCATGATAAGTGCTTGGTATATGATAGATGTTACTATTCTTCAAGTACAAAGAACGGAGCTGGGGGCTAGACCAGAGTGACCTGACCCTCTACCACTGACCTGGCCTGTTGGGAATATGATTGGGCAGCTCTGAGGGAGGGACTCTGCCGAGCAGAATGACTAGGACCTTAGACCACCTGGAATGTCCTCCATGGGCTCCCAGTCCTTCCTACTGTCCTTTCCAGACTATCTTATTCCCATACAGCTGGACTCACCCAGCTGTAGGAAAGGGGAGCAGGGGACAGTGTCAGACCTCCAACACAGAGCACATGCCCAGGTGTCCAAGCCAAATGTCTGCAACCAGGCCCGGTACCTGAAACTCTCTACCATCCATCCCTCCACGGTCTATGCTGCCACACAGCTGCTGGCACCACAGCTGGCCCCTGTGTGGACAACATTTCGAGTCCTGGGCGGGCACCAGGTACGCTGGAGGAGGCTCGTACACTGAAAACAGTGCCAGTGCAATGTGATCATGGAAACATACCAGTGCACCGAGGCAGGGGTAAGGACTGCCTTCATGTCCCTGGAATGATCCGAGAAACCCAAAGAAGAGCTGTCTGAGTGACTCCTCAAATTTCAGAGCAGAAGAACTCTGAGAGGTGGAGGGGAGTGATTTTATGCACGTGTGGTCCAAGGACTTCCCTCACAATCATTGGAAGAACCCCAAGAAATGCAGATCCTGGGACCCCCGCCCCAGACCTTGAGATCTTAATCTCTGGGAATCTTCATCTTTAACCAGAACCCCCTCCCCCAAGTGATTCTTATGGATCCTAAAGTTTAAGAAACACGATGGAGCCTATTGCCCATGTTGAGGAGAGATGGGGAAACTGAGCCGAGGGGAGGAGGGACAGTGGCAGAGCTAAGCCAAGAACTTAGACCTCCTGACTCCCGGACCAAGGCTTTCTCTCCACTCTACCCCAAGGGTGGAACCGCACTTCTGCCTCTACCCCTCTAGGCTGGACCGATGCGTGCCCTCAAGGTGTTTGGAATGACTGAATGGATTCTACCGGCTAAGGCTCCATGATGTCACTGATTTGTTGGCTTTAAAAAAAAAGATGCTGAGTCACTCATTGTCCTCCAGGGCCAGCATCTGTCCTACTCTCTTCCAAAATAGCCGTCACTTGCCCTGCAGCTGGAGAAGCAGAAAGTTTTGCTGGAAGACAGCAGAATTGCAAGTCTTGGAAAGTCTGTCTTCAGTGGGGTGCGGGATCACAGCTGTGTGGGAGGCAGTCTCAACCCCACAGCTGACTCGTCTAATTTTGCTTCTTTTACGCAGAACAATTAGAGGCTGTTCTTTGCCTGCTATTTTGATTTATGAAGGCTCCTTCAATTCCCGGGGGGTGGGGGGGTGAGATGCTGGGAAGTAGGTGATGAAGCTGCTGTAGCTGATCCAGGCAGGGCTGAGAGCCGAGCGCTGCCAGCCAGCCAGAGCGCCCTCTCCTCACAGGCCTCCCCACCCCGCAGCTAACCAGCCCCCAGCCCTGTCCTGTTGGCCTCTTCTGACAAATCATGCCGCTCTGCCCTAGTTGGTTTTGCTCAGTGGTTAGACCACCGGCCCTCAGCCTGAAGGGTTGCGGGTTCAACTTCCAGCCAAGGGCACGTACCTCAGTTGCAAGCTCGATCCCCAGTGCTGGTTGGGAGCGTGCAGGAGCCAACCAATCGACGTGTCTCTCACACATTGATGTTTCTCTCTCTCTGTTTCTCCCCGCACCCCTTCCACTTTCTCTAAAATTCAGTGGAAAAAATATCCTTGGATGAGGATTAACCAAAAAAATAAATAAATAATCATTCTGCTCTCCTGCGCTCAAGGCCAATTCCACAAACTGGCCCCAACCACCTCTTAGGCCTCAGCTCCCAGAACCTTCCTTTGATGGCTGCCCCGCCCCCCACCCCTCACTTCTTCCCTGTTCCCTGGACACATCCAGCCCACTTCCACCTCAGGGCCTCTGGACTGCTGCTCACTCTTCCTAGAAGCCTTGAGTCCCCACTTGTGCACGGCTTGCTCCTTCACTTGACTCAGGACTCTATTCAAATGTCGCCTCCTCAGAGAGGCTGCCCTGACCTCCCTATCCCTACCATCGCTCTCTCGCTCCTAACACTGCTTCATTTTCTTTATATCACGAACTACCGCCTGACTTAATATTTATCTTCTTTTCTGTCCATTTGACTCTCTCGCCCACATAAACTCCCCGAAGAGAGGCCTTTTGTCCATTTTGTTCCCTGCTGCATTACCGGCCCTACCAACAGTGCCCGGTAAATAGCAAGCTTCCAATAGGCATCTGTTGTATAGGCCAGGCCTCACCAGCTCTCACAGGGACCACCACAGCAGCCTCTCCGCCCCTCAAGCCATCATCCACATAAGCCGGGGTGCTCACAGTAACAGGCAGATTTGCTCAGGACACTCTTCGGCCTACAGTCCTCCTGTGGCTCCCCACTGCCATCTGGATAAAAGCCAAACCCCTCAGACGGGCATTCCATCTGCGCGGGCTCCTTTCCCACAGTGCCTTCCGCGCCCAGACACTCCATCTCGCATCCCCTCCCCGCTAAGAGACAGCCACTATAATGGTTTGGCGGGACTCCTTCCAAACCACATATATGCATATAGCTTTTTATAAAATTTTATTTCTGCCAGTGTAATCCAATGACATCATATAAAAAGTCACATAGCACCATAATGAAACTAGGTGCCCCTCTGCCCGCCCCTTCCCCATGCCTCTGGCCTGCTCGCCAGAGCCACCACTTTTCACGTTTTTAGTTATTCTTCTAATCATTATCTCCATCATTCTCAACAACATGTTTAAATGGTGGTTTCCTGATGTAGCCATGTTAGACAGTAGCTGAAGTGTGTATTCGGTCGAGCCAGGCTAGGCAGCCGTGACAAACAACCCCAAAATCTCAGTGGCTTAACACAACCAAGGTCTCTCTCTCACCCCTGCAGAGTGCTGTCAGTGCTTCCAGGACTAAATGCCACAAGATGATCCCAGCCTGCTGTAATCGCGTGGCTCTGCCTGAGGCCTCCTTGATCACCGGAGGGAGAAGAGACAGCTGCAGGGCCATCTAGGCCCTGGTCTAGCTGCAGCATAGCACTTCCACCTGCAGCCCACGGACTAGAACTAGTCCTGTGGCCCCAGCCAACAGCAAGGGGCTGAGAAGTGCAGTCTTTTATGTGCCCAGAAGCAGGGAGAATCAGGTATTACGGAACACTAGCAATGACCTCCCCAACTCCCTATTATGGTGGGAGAGGATTCACTCTCTTACACTACCCAACGCCACCGCCCCTCCCCATTCTTCCAATATAGTTTTACCACAGTTTTTAAAATTTAAGTTAAACCGATATTCAAAGTTTATACTCTTTTTTTGTGGGTTTTATATTCTTTTTTTTTCCTTTTTTTTAAAAAAATATATTTTATTGATTTTTTACAGAGAGGAAGGGAGAGGGAGAGAGAGTTAGAAACACGGATGAGAGAGAAACATCCATCAGCTGCCACCTGCACACTCCCTACTGGGAATGTGCCCGCAGCCAAGGTACATGCCCTTGACCGGAATCGAACCTGGGACCATTCAGTCCGCAGGCTGAAGATCTATCCACTGAGCCAAACCGGTTAGGGCGTGGGGTTTATATTCTTATGACTTTGTCGATATTGTCCACTGCTGAGCCAAATGGTATGCTATAATCACATTTATTTTCTACTACAGATTTTTGTTTTTCCTGGAATTAATAATTGCCTCTTTTTTTTTCCATTTGTACACATATTGCTAAATCTCCTCAAACATTCCAGCAGACCCATAAAATGCCTTTCCCATGTAGTCACATAATACACCAGGTTCCTTTTCCTAGTGATCTATCTCCTGGAGTCACTCTCCTTCCCTTTCTTTTTTTTTTTTTTAAATCCTCACCAGAGGGTATGTTTCCATTGATTTTAGAGAGAGGGGAAAAGAGAGGGAAACACAGAGAGAATGCCCTTGACCGGAATCAAACCCAGGACCCTTGGGTCCGCAGGTTGACACTCTACCCACTTGAGACAAAGCGGCTAGGCCCTCCTCCCCTTTCACTCTGCGGGTGGTTTCTTTCCAGACCAGCTGCACACCTGTGCTCTTGTGTTAGAGCACCTGCTTTCTGGCTTACACGTCTTTTCTATCTTGGTTTATGCCCTCGTGTTGGTGCAGCACATCCTTTAGTCCCTTCCTAAGAAAGGACACATAGAAAATAACATTTTTACACTCTTCCATGTCTGACAATGCCTTCCTTCTATCCTCACTTCTGATTTCTCTGACCGTATAAGGATTAGGAGGTTGAAAATCATTTTCCATCAGAATTTTGAAGGCCTGGCTTCCTCATCTTCTAACTTCCCTGTTGCCCCTGAAGTATCTGAACCATTCTGACTCCGGGTGATTTGTCAGCTGCCCTCCCCGGCCAAGAAACTTTTAGAATTGTCTCTTTATCCCTAGTATTCTGAGGTTCGTGGTGATGTACTTTGGGTGGTTCCTTTTCATTTTATTGGGCCTCTCAGTCT